ATATTATCCTTAACAGTACCAGGTTTTAATAATAGTATTCTGACAAATATTTGAGGTATTTATATTGTTATTCTGTATTTAAATAATATTTAAGAAAAACATGTCTAAGCTTACATAGAAATGCATTTATATTTGAAATTTCTGATTCTTTAGAAAAGTCAACGATCCCTTTGAAGTTACTCAAATGTTCTGCTTTAAGCATGGGTTGTATTTCTTCCACTGAAAGATACATAATTACTTATACTTTTACATTAATTTCAATCAGTACATTTACAACTATTTAAGATAATCATTTTATACCTTTCCACTGGTTATTAGAATGAACTAAAACCACAAAATATTTATCTCTTGTAGCAGTATCCTTTATAAAAAGGGAAATTTTTATTTGTTCATGTTCTTTATTATTGATTAAACGTATATGAAAGTCCAAATATTGCTTATAAATCTGACAGACACGTTTAATAGCATTCCAAGTTAATATCTTATGTTCCTTCCTTTTTTCTGATTCTAAAGACATTTTTGAAAATTTATAACAAAAATGTATTGTTTGCTAAAAGTTTAGTTGACATATTATATTTAATCATATATTTGTAACAAATACCTTGCTGCAAATCAACCATTTCTAAAGTCAAGCTGTCTCTTTTTAATTCTGCATCGTGAACTTCTTCCTTTAATTTTTCCTGTTGCTTGACCGCATTAATAATTTTTTTATCTACAATCTTCTGCTGTAACTTTGTTGCATCTATTTCAGACTTTAAATTTTCAACCTCCTGCTGTAATTCTGATATTTTATTGGCACTCTGTGTTCTCTTCTGCATACACTCTGTAGGAAAAATACAATATAAAACTATCATTAATGTCAGAAGGATCTTCTTGAATGAAAGTACATAACAAAGCAAAGCACTGTAGTAATTAAATTTCCGTTTGTTTAAACCAACAGACGTCAATTCTATGACATCTGTCTAATATCTAATGCCAATTTGACAAGTCTGCTTGTGATAAATAAGTTCCTTCGAATTAATTACAATCTGATACAAAGTACGGGAAGATATTTTCTATTAAAATACAATGTAATTTAAGTACTTCGAATTGTAAGATATTTTACATACGTACGAATTTCATATTCAATTGCATTTTCAACTTTGGCGGCAATTTTTTTACGAAAGTTAGAACAAAGTGATGAAAGTTTTCCGAACACATTAAAATCTCTATTCTCAAGAATATGTGCAATGTCACAATCAAATTCTTCCATTGTCAGTATATCATTTTTATCTTAACACTACGCACTACTTATTCAACCAAACTGTAACGGCTTCAACGTATAGTGTTTATTAAGGTAGCCATTGAAGATTTGAAATGAACAGTACTACCACTATGCTGAACAGATATTACTAGCCAACAATTATAACGTTGAACTTATAAGCCGCTATACAGTATAATAATAATAGTATCTAATTTTATAGACAACAAAACTCATTTTAGTATTGTTTTATTCAATTTCTTTAATTCTATAGAAAATTTTAAACTTGTAAAAATAACTACTAGAAAATGTAACCATGAAACGTACTATTTGAACATAGCTGGTATCGATAGTTTGAAATAGGATGTCTTATAACAATAAGAAGAAACGACTTCAACAATAGCGGGCAAATTTAATTTTGGCGTTAGTATTACGAAAAGCAATATGACAAAGTGTTCGATGAAACTTAAAGAGATTTAAAAACCACCGTATAAGGTTTCTTACGATGACGCATGTTTTTCTTGACATACTGATTTATTTACTGATTATTTCATTTACACATTTCTCAAACAAAGGGAATTTAATGAGGTATTTGAATTAGATAACAAAATGTATAATTCGTGGATCGCAATAATAAGTAAATATTATGACGAATACATTATTCAAACTCTCTTAATGTTGAATTCGCTTTTTATTTACACAGATGTTAATCATAACGCTGCAGATACATATATAAGTTGCGATCAGGTCCGAATCACAACATTCATTTTCAAAAACTCGTTCAAAGGTTGCTTCACAGCAAGCACGAGCAAAAATGATCTTCCAAGGATTGCCAATCTTTGCCATCTTCTGCATTGCTGCTTCTCTGGTACGTGTGATGTCTTACTTTACAACATTTTATTTTGAAAATAGATGGTGCTATCTGAACATTTTTTTTTTTTTAATTCTACAAATTTTTCATTTCTCATTATTAACATTTCTCAAGAAGCGTTAAATTAGTTTCTCATTTCCACGTACACTTTTCAATGCACCCTCTATAACAGTATTGATCATTAAATAGTGCTATTTTAATTGTCGAAATAATTATTTCTTTCCTTCAAAAATGTTTCTATATTTTACAAATTATTTTTTAACGAATTTGCTCAATATAGGCTTTGCCATTTGGAGCACAGAACAACGCGAACAATGGTAATGCACAAGGGAACAACCCTGCTGACAAGGTTGTAGATGGCTTACAAGACCTCGTGAAATCCGCTGAGTCCTTGCTCGAAAATGAATTGAAGAACATCGCGAACCAGTCTGTACAGATCTGGGAAGACTTGAAGGGACAGTTAGAGTCGGTCGAGGATAATGCCAGTGAGGTCGTTAGCAACGCTACAAATCTCTTGGGACATATTATCGACAATCTTATAAACTCGGCCGCCAAAGTTACGAAAAACGCCCAAAAGATCGCAGAAAACGAGTTGAACGCAGCCAATGACCTACTCAATAAAACTTCTGAGGATTTGAAAGATGCTCTTGGAAAGCTTGCGAACGGCACAGATGACACCGTGAAGGATGTACAAGACAAATTGGAAGGACTCCTCGAGAAGGGTGCTGAAGCTCTGAAGAACGCAAGCAACACCTTGGAGAACGTTGTAAATCAAACGGAAGAGGATGCCGGTAAAGTTTTCAATGACATCAAAAATACCACAACGAAAGAACTGCAAAAGCTCTTGGATCAGTTCGCCAAGCTTGTGGAAGAGGCTAAAGAAGATATCGAATCGATGAACGAGAATGCAGCCAAGATTTTAAAGAAAGTGCAAGACGCACTAGCCGATCTGGAAAAAGAAGTCAGTAAGGTTATCGGTAATCTTCTCAATTCCGTGGGTGACGAGATAAAGAACATTGGAGATACTGTTGGCAAGGTCGGTGCTGATATAGCAGATGTCGTGAACAGCACTGTATCCGATCTGATAGAAGATGCTAAGAAAATCGCTGATGACGTGATTGATGATACCGCGGAGGTCGCGAAAGGTATTGTCGATGCTGTGAATGATTTGGTAAAGAATCTGTCGGACGTCGTGGGCCACGTTGAGAAGGCTGTGCAAGACTTTGTTAATAGTGTGCACAACGGAATCCACCAGTTTGAGAAAACAGTTATTGACACCGTTCAGAACGTAGCAAACGGTATTACGGATGCCATTAAGCACACAGAAGATCTTGTGTCGAAAATTGTCGATGATATTTTGAAGGAAGTTGGTCACATCGTATCCGAAGGTAGCAACTTGGTGCACAATATAACCGAAAAGATCGAACAGGATGTGGAGAAAGCCGAGACTATATCATCTAAGATCCTGAATGATATTAAAAATAAAACGCAAGAGAAATTGAAAGAGCTTAATAACGATATCGATAATTTGAATGATGAAGTCGCAGATGTGAAAAACGCTATCAAACAAAAGGTACAAAAAATCGCCGGTAAGATAGCCGACGCTTTGAACACCTTGGAGGGAGCTGTGAACAGCGTGTTGGAGGGTGTTAAACAGAAAGCTGGCAAGCTTGCGAACGACTTGAAACACATCATTGAATCGAATGTACAAAATATTCTGCAGAAGACCGCCCAAGCTGTGAACGATGCCGGTAATACAGCTGGAGATGTCGAAAAGGCGACAGCTACTGTTTTGAACGACACATTTTCTGGACTGAAGAAGGATGCTAAGAATATTCTAGATGATGCCAAACAATCTGTCCATGATGCAGTTAATGATATTACAGGCCAAATTTCCAATGCTCTCGATAATGTTAAGAATACCGCAAAGGGTGCTTTAGAAGACGCTAAACAAATGAGTTATCATCTTGGCGATGACATTAGGGACCTGATTGGCCATGTGTTACACGATTCCGGTGATATGGTCAAACACATTTTGGACGATGTTAACAAAATCATCGGCGATGTTGTCGGTAACACTCAAAATGTTGTTGATCATACAATTGGAGATGTAAAGTCTATCAGTTTTGGCATTTTCAATGATGTAAAGAGTGTGATTGAAAATGGAGTGAATGACGCGGGAAATGGTGTAAAGGATATAATCGATGGAATTCAAAATGGAGTCGGTGACTTAGTTCACAACTTTGATAACGCTAGGGACCAGGCTGGTGATGTTTTGCACCATATCAACCACGATGTTGCACATACTGCTGATAATATTATAGGTAACATAAATAAAATTTTACAGAAAACTATGAATTAATTGTCATAATAGTGAATTGAGAAAATGTAAATAAATTCTCGTTTAATTCTTTTTTTTTTACAGATGGTGCAAGTAACGCGGTATCCGGTGCAGGAAAGATCATTAAAGATCTCCTTCCGGTAAATTAATATTTTTTTCTATTAATCAAATTTCTACGTAATATTAAGATAATCTACATCTTATGTTACAAAATGAAATTTCATTTCTACTTTATAATTATTGTTTATATTTCTGTATAGTTCCCATTCCGTATTTAAATGATAAATACGAGTTACAATCACCATTTTCAACGGATCCTAGAAATCAGGAATTGGGAATTACTAAACAAATAAAGTAGTTTTTCATTTACAAAATAAGCGACAGCGACAAAAAGAAACGCAATAAAGAATCGATATGTTGAGGATACATGCTGATTCCCTTTAAATTAAAAAACATATGTAATTGCAAATGTAAATAACTATTATTTGTTATTTCAATAAAAATAAGAAAATTAAATTGGTGTCTCGTTTAATAACATAAATTGAAGTTATTGAAATATTATATTGGGTTGTGATTCTGATGACTGTATATCATTCCAGCAAGTTATTTCTGTCATTTCCAAGTTGCCATCTTCTGTCAATGTTAAAATTTGCTTTTCAGAGTTATCTTTAAGTTTTAAAGCTAAATCTGTATCAGAATTTGATACCATCATGGCAGATTGTGTTGGTGCTTCATTAATCTCAACAGGTTGCAAAACACGTACATATATCGGTTGACCAGTAGTAGATATATTGTCTACAATTTAAAAACAGTTTTCTTATCAAATGTTCTTTAATTAGATATAAACTTTAAATCCTTACCAGAAGTTAAAATATTTTGTATTGACAAATTTTCTGAATTTGATAATCTTATTATAGGTATATTTTCGTTGCGATTTGAAATTTGTGATCCCGAAAATGTTTCAATTGTCATAATTGGTACATTATGTTGCACAGTTTTTTCCAAAATTGGAATATTCAATATAGTCCCATCAATATTTTTTAATGATGATTCTGAAAGATTATTTACAATATAGTTTATTGAAAAAATAAATAATTTATTTTTATCATATTAAAATAAACAGTTGAAAAAACCTGCTTGCTTGTTTTGATCTCTATTCTGATCAACTATATGTTCTTTTTCATTACAATTATGCGATTCTTGTTGATTTTCATAAAATTGTACACCACATTTATCACAAAATATTTTCTGTTTAATGTGATCTTTAATATGATGCACCATAAATGAATTATGAAGTGTAGTATACTGACATTTGTCACATTGCAACCAAACATTACTTTTCTTATGTTTGGCTTTTTCAGTAGTATTTGAAGATAAAATAACATCTCTTTTATTTTGACAATTAGTTAGAGTCTGATTGTTACATTTTGTGATCTGTGGTGGTTGGGAACGTTTTTGTGTTTCGCTATTACCAAGAAGTTCTCCTTCCTCCAGAGAATACTTTTGTTCCAAAAATCTCAAAACATTATCACGTACATTACACATTTCAATTTCAAGTTTATCAAGTGTGTTAATAAGATTGGCACAACTTCGACAAATTACATCATCTTCTGATATCACTACCATATATCTGTATTATATGAGAAAGATAATTGCAATTGTACTTTGAAATAATAATAGTAAAATCAGTGTTCTGTTTCTATGATTACTGTAAGATACTACCTTTCACCAACTAATTCTCCAAGTTTTTCTATTACTTTCGTTCTTGATGTTTGTGTTCTACATGTAGCCAATGCATAAAAACGTCCGTGAATCTTTGTATCACATACAAAGCATTGTAAATCTTTCAAAAGTTTTAAACCATTACAATCATTTCCATTATCACAAACAGTTACATTTGTACAATTGTTGGTAATATCTTCAGAACAAATATCATGATCTTGTCCTACTGACAACATTGAAGTTATATTTGCCATTGAACTAATGACAATAAATATTGTTTAAAGGAATCAAGGTTAGGATATAAAACAATGAATGTAAGATGTTAGCTGTAAGAAATCAAAACAAAATCAAAAGTCTATAATTTGTATTAGAAATATTGTACTGTACTTTTCTTTCCCATGTTTTAAGATATAGTGATAGAAATAATATATCTACGTAATATAGCTTTTCCACAGAGTTGTTAAAATAATGCAGCTTGAATATATCTTATGCCATCTCATGAAGATTAATGAAAATAGGCGCGAAACATAACACTCTCTATCTGTATGTGTGTGTGTATATATGTATATATATATATCACTGAATTGACAGACGCAAGTTGATGCGTAACGTTTGAAAAAATTATTTAATAGATACTTCCCACAATAGGAAAATTTGTGTACTCCATTGCATTAAAAGATGAACACAAAAATGTATATAATAATATTTATTATAACTATCTATACGTGACAAGTTTACCGGTTTTGTTATACGCTCATTTACATTAATAATTAGAAATAGATATTTGTTTTTTGAAGGTTTCCATCAAATTTGTGATGCACAAATAACCGCTACTTTTACACAACTATACTTAACATGCTTATATGAATAATTTCCTTTACAGTTCTTGTTAACATTAATGTCACTAAATGTGCGTACATAGTGACTTTTTGAATTACAAAGGAATTGAACATTGTGAAGTTTATATCACGTGTACATTTCAAACATGTCCAATATCGAGTAAAATAAAAAATCTAAATCGAGTTTATGTACTCGTAACTTTATGAAATTAATATTGTTTAAATCACACGTTTTTTACACTTTTACAACACGCAAAGAAAAAAATATAGTATTGTGCATATGTTTCTATGAACTTGATTGAAAATAATTATTTAACTTCGTAAAATAAATACGAAAGCTAGGTCGTATGTTCTCTATGGTTCGTAAAGTTTTACGTATATTTATAGAAAAACAATAAAATCACATTAGGATATGATTGAAACGTACTAATAATTCTTGGACTTTACATATCTATCTTTTCAATTTTTACTTTCAGCTCTTGCTTTTTTATATTTTCTTTCTCATCTGTTTCACTTTTCTCACTGTCCCTTTCTTTTTCCTTGCCAGAAGAATGTTGTTGTTTCTTATCTGAATTACGGAAACGATCATAACGAGAATCTTCATCGTCGCTAGATTTACCCCCTGCCTCTGTTTCTCTTAAAATATCGCCCAAATCTTTATCAACATCATCCCACAACTTATCGCCATTATCGCCTGGGTAATCATCATCATCTTCTTCTTCCGCTTGTCCATTTTTATTATCTTTCATACTTTTCTCGGGCTCAACAGGTCCTTTTTGTTCATTTACTTTGCTGGATTCAATGGTAGTAGTGCCATCACTCGTGGTTACTGGTAATGTGTTATTTGCAGACGGTGGTTCGGAATTAGTTGGAGATTTAGCATTTTCTGTACTATTTACAGCATTTGGTGTAGAAGTAGTATTGGTAGATGACGATGATTGCAGATGTATCCTTTCTGCTTGTCTTCGCAATGCTTTATCATCATTATCGCGCACATATCTATATGATACATTAAATTTATGTTAACACACATAATATTGCTTTCTTCTTGCATAATATTGCTTCGTCGTTACATACCGTTTAAGATGACTTCTGGTCGAACAATGAAGTGCTATCGCCCTTTCGCTGTTTTCACTACGCGGAAGATATATCTTACATAGTTCACAGAATTGAACTTCGACACGTTTTATGTATTCTGCTCCAACTTTAATCATTTGTTTACTTTTAGGTTTCTTTTCTGTGTCGTTTGTACCTTCACTTTCTGGTTTCTCTTTCTTCTTCTCGGGAGACTCTTCATCTTCTGCTATAAGTTACATTTATATGGTAATTCTTATGAAAATTGATATTTTCGTGAGAAAGAAAAATGGTGAAATTTAATTACGTACCGTCAACATCACCTACAGAATCTAAAGTCATAAAATTATCGAGATTAACTTCCTTGTCATCTTCTTCGGGTCCACTTGAATCTGCTTCTGCTTCACCATTGCCAGCATTCATTCTTTCTTTCAACGCGCTTTTCCTCTGAAAGATATACGTAAGTATAAAATATATTAAAAGCGTTAGAAACGGTTTAACATCGTAATAGAAATAGTACCTTAATATGATCCAAAGAACACATATGAGTTTCAAAGAGCATTGGTGATCGGAATGGAATGCGACAAGTACGGCAAAATGGTGCGAGGAATCGCTTCATTTGACGATGGGAATCTGATAGTTGATGTACAGCTTTAAGAGAACGGTAATTAAGTTTACAGATCGGACAGAACATGGTTCGAGAAGGTAAAGTGCCACGTGCAGCATCACGGGCCTCAACACGTCGTTGTTCTTGTCGTTGCAGTACACGCATGCGGGTCAAAGTTGCTTTGTGACGTGATGCAATTCGTCTCATGGCTGCACTGTGACGACCCGAATACAAATGCAAGGAATACTCTTTGAAAGTAACGCTACGATGAGTACAATGTGGACAGGTTAATTTAATAAATTTCCTTCCATCTCTTCTACTGGGTAATTCTTCTGAACCAGTAGTTCTACCATGATCTGTTTTATCATTTTCATCTCTTTCTTCATCATCCCCATCGTCTTCATCGTCCTAAAAATGTACGCATCACAAACATTCATGGTAACACAAAGATAAGAATTGCAATAACAATATATATTGTAATTGGTCTTACCTCATGCTTTCGATCATCTTCATCCTCTTTTACTTCATCTTCTTTTTCTTCTTCATCTTCGGTATTTTGTCTTTCCCGATCTTGTTTTTCTTTCTTTCTCTTTTCATCTTTTTTCTTTTTCTCTTCTTCTTCCTCTTCTTCTTCATCATCGCGTTCATGTGGCTGAATTAATGCCGGTAAATGTTATATAGTAAGTATTGCCATTAGTAGCACACAATATGCATATAGACAATAGGAGGAAATATTAGCAGCCGTATGGAGTTACCTTTTCATCATCATCCCAATTACTTTTGTTATCATCATCCTCTTCATCGTCATCGGAAAATTCAGCGTTAATAGCTTTGGTCATCTCTCTATCCTTGTCCTTCATGCTGGTTCCTGATCCTGACTCCTTTTTACTTCCGGATAGCCTAGTAGTACCGCTACTAACGACACAGCAATTTTGTTTTGACTTACATTATTTCCCTTCGTCTTGTTCTGGTTCCTTTGTCTTTCATTATATCATCAATCGAAATTTTGTTTTCTTATAGTTGATATACAGCAAATATATCGCGATAGTATTTGTTTTTCTTTTATCCCCCATAATGAATGCATTTCGTATTGCAATAAAGGTCTTAACTATTCAGCCTTTTTGCTCTGCATTGTGCTCTTATATATGTCTCCGCATTTTCGCGTTTTAAAATACATGTAAGAAACAACGTTCTTATACTGGTTTTAATCACCGCTATGTGTAAGAACGATAAATAATGATCTCGTAAAGTACAAGTATTATAGTAGTTCTCATATCAAAAGTAATTACATTGTATTTTGATGATATATACGCATTGTATTTATGCATATCAGAATCAATTCCCTTTTTTTTTTTTTTTATTATTATTATTATATATTAGAACCCTGCGAAAAGTTTGCCTCTCGGCAGTAGAATATTGGTTTCGTGCGATCATTTGTGTCATTTTTTGTTTTCTTTTACCATTTATATATCTATCATCGTCTTGACTCTCAGGTCATTATAGTCAGATATAGTCAGCTCATTTACTGACAAATAAGCAAGCAGGCTACTAGGACGGTATTGCGGTTGGTAAGTGATTTATTAATTAATTACCTCCTGCGCAATTTGGTTGTGGTCATGCGCACACGCTGGATGTAGTCTCGCGATCGCGATCCTAGCAGCTTGCGTCGATAGTCGAGCGAGTGTAGAGTACGCTTGCGAGCCATGACGACGTCCGATCGAGAGCTCATGCGATGGAATCCACCCCCTCTACCGCTGCCGCGAGTTGAAATGCGACCTCTGTAGTTTGAGCTTTGATGCGATATTCGCCCTCGGCTCGAGGTATATCTCTGAGTTGGAGGTGCCATTTCACTAATTCGAGGGGGTGGTGGAGGTGCATAGCTCCGTGATGCTGAATGACGGTCCTCTGAGCGGTGGTATGACGAAGCACGTTCGCTCTGTCTCTTGTCCTCATACACGGCCGAGGATGACGATCCCTTATTATCGTCATAAGGAGCTGATGCAGATGAACCACCATACGACGAAGAATACCTCTGAGAGCCGCTACCGCTACCTCCACCCTGCCAAATCAAATTCAATTGTGCTCCTTCCCATTGTATCTTTCTCTTTTCCTGCCCTTCTCTCTTTTACTCTATATACATTCCTCCCCTTTGTTCCCTCCTATCACATATTCTCCATACATTTTATTTTTTTTTCTAATTCCATTCCAAGTCGATTCTTTTGCACTCCCTCATTTATCACTCATTATAGTGCCAATCGTTTAGTACAAAATCATCCAACCTTGTACTGTTACGGTCACTACACCCATTCCCGTTGGATCACCAAAATTATAGATTTTACCTTGCCTAAGCTTGAAAAGCACCTAAATTATATTGTATCTTTCGTATTTCAAATATAATGTAACTTTGCATACCGCTTTTTTGATTTATTATATTAAAAACAATCTTTACTTTTCGAAAAACATAATAGCACTCTTGTCATTTCATTTCATAGGTACGATCTCTGAATAGTAGATCTGATCAGCATTCGTTTGCTTGAAGTATCAAATGAATTAAATTCTGCATGATTCTGGATTAATTGCTGATAGACCTTTCCAATTTTAATAGCATAAAGATAGATGTGTTTTTAACGTATTCTTATTTGTAAAGCACTCTTTCGTATGATATTCAACGTCTCACGCACGCTTATATGGACCAGAAAACCAAATAAAACTAATAAAATTGTAGTTCTAATGTTTACATCTTTGTACACTTTCTTTAAGGAGAAAATATGTGAAAAATATATTTTGTGTACTTTCATTGCTTTTGTAAAGCTTTCCAACACATATTCTAGCTTCAATCTGTAGATACAAGGTAGTTATACATTTAAAAAAGGTTGATCTTTCTCAGTCATTTTCAATTAAACATAGCATAAGATGTATGTCCTTTACATTGGAAAGGTCTATGATTACTTTGACGTTATTGATAATTTATTTCAGTATCCCAATAAACGGTTTTAACTGATGTAATTTAGAAAATTGTATAGAGCAGTATTTGTTAGAAATTTTTGCGGTGCGGCAATGCAGGGATGCTTTCAACATTTCAATAACAGATCTGCATTGTGCAGGAAACTGGCTCAGTTGCATGTATATTGTTTTATATAGAGAACAATACTGATGTAATGTTGGTATTTTAAAATTCGTATTTCTATATATCTATTCATCTGTTCGTTCTGATACTTTTCAGGTTGTTCTCAACATTTAATGCAACTGTGTGCAGGCAATAATTAAGTACCATCTAGGTGTATTTCATCTTTTAATTATGTGATGTTTTCGCAGTGTTCCACCAGTAGTGTCCCAACGCAAAAAGAATGGGTGTTCAAGTAGCCGTTGGCTCGTCGCTTGAAAGGAAAGTATGACGACTTATGAATGCCTTGCCTACTATTTTTTTTGTTTTTAATGTAAATGTTTAGACGAGTGTCCTGAAAATCTTTTTCACATGGAATGCAAAATATTTTGAATTTCATGCTTAAATTTTATCAATGAAAATCTTTCAGGACCATCGTTTGTTTATGCTACATAATTTAAAAATTTAAAAACTTTTTGTAAAGCAGGGCTTTCAAGATGAAAAAATGATTCTTGACCACAGCATGGCAGGAGATTGAAACAAAATAGACTAATGCTTATTTAAAGTATCTTACAATAAAAGTATGACTACACTTATATCTACAAAATACATACCTGATAAGAATCACTTCTTATCCTTTTACGGGTTGAATCACTCGATGACCGATGTTCATCTCTTCCAGAATAAGAATCCTAAACAATACAATAGATGTTCCAAGTATTAATGTCAATTTTTCTATACATAATTACTTTATAATTTGTTTATTTATATATTTACCCTTGGTCTTTTGTAACTATTTGAGTGTTCACCTCTTCCACCTCTGCTAGAATATCTTTCAGATCCTCCTATTATAAATATAAGTATTTTTTAATACTACTTGCAATATAAATATTAATTATAAACAAAGTGTTTGTGTACATTTATATAATATAAACTTGTACAAACTATATAACAAAAACACAATTTTAACTAACCAGAATTATACTTTGAACGAGAATCATAACTGGTAGTTGAATATTTAAATCTGCCACCTCTAGATGAAGAATAACCTCCTCTACTAGACATATTTCCTCCTGTTGAGCCACTGTTCCATTCATTTCCACTACCACCTCCTCTTCCTCTATAAGAACTGCCTCCACGGGAACTAAATCCACGTCCCCGTGAACTCATACTAGAGCTACAAAAAGATTCAAGATATTTTTGAAATATTGAAATAAATAAATAAATAAAATTGATATTGAACATTTTCTATTTTAATTGAGTGTTATTCATTTTTG